GACACACTCCCTAGAGGCGAGTTGGGAGGGCACAGGGCAGGAAATGGGGTTGGGGGCCCCATGTGGGGCGCTCCAATGAGCTCTTTCTCTGGGATACCCCACAGATCCACACAAACAGGCCAACCACCAGGGCTGGTCCCAGGCCACCCAAGGAGTGCAATGCAGAAATGGAGATCTGCCCAGGCAGCTGGGTGAGGGTGGAAAGGAGGGAGCGGTGCAAGAAGCTAGGGGAGCCTCCATCCCTCTCTGGCCTGTGCGGGCCTGGGCTTCACCCCACGCCACGCAGCTGGGAGCACAGCTCCTCCCTCCTCCACTGTCCTCTGCACGGTGTGACCCCTCCCTGGGGGCGCGAGCTGAGGAGGTGGCATTCTTGCTTCCCTGACTCACCCAAAGAAGATTTCACAGCCTAGCAAGGGCTCCCAGGCAGGCTCACCTGTCACGCTGTCCAGGGATAGACTGACCACCGGCAGCCTTGGCCGGGCGGGGTGGGGGAGGGTTATGCTGGGAAGTGTCTTCCAGGCCCCCTGGGGGTGGGAAGAGGCTCCATATTCAAAGGACACGGATGGAGAAAAACAGTTAAGCAGTGATGAACTCCGGAAAGTAGGTAGAGAAGAGCTGTCATTCCAGCCCGTCCTGTGGCCCAGCAGTGAACAGCCGCTTGAAAGCAGCAGCTCTAACGTGGTGGAACGGTGGAAGGCCATGCCCTCATCCACCAAAACCAGCTGCGCCACCTTCCCAGACCACTCCAGCCTCATTCCTCCATCCACCCCTCCCTGCACCCCACGAAGGTCGCTGACCCGAGAGCAGAGCTGTCGAGAGCAGTCAGGTCGGGTGGGTGAGTGCCCTCGCCCTCACTGGAGCTCCGCCCGGACTCAGGGTGGGCTCTCCCTCGAGCACACCGCTCTTCTTCCTCACACTGCACACGTTTCCTTTCCTGTTCAGTTCGTGGTTTCCGCCCCCGCCCAAACGGAGCCACAAGATGTGTCTCCAAGGAAAGTCGGGGCAGCCTTCCTCACCCTTGGTTCCTGTGACTTGGTTTCCATGGGGCTTTCTAAGCTCGGGGACCCTAAGCCTCCATCAAATCTAATTACCCACCCTGTCTGAGCACATCTGTGTTGCCCCTGTGCCCCTCGACCCCCCCAAACCCTGCCCACACAGTTTCCATCTTGAAGGGTCAGCCCACAGGCTGGCCCACGCGGCCCACGTGTTCCCTTCACCCCACACTGTCCCTACTGGTAGGGAGCTGTTCCGTCTGGGCCCTAGTGTGGCACTTCACACATGAATATGTCCCATGGGTGGCTCTGGTGCCTCCCCCCACGGTGAGGAGGGTGATGACTGTGCAGAGCTCACTGGGCCTCAGGGTACAGGCCTGTCACAGAACACAGAGACAGTGCTCCATAAAAGTGAGCTGCCATTCCTCTGCTAGGATGGGGGTGGGCAAGCTCTTCCCTGGAGGGCAGACCATATGTGTTTTGGGCTTTGCTGGCCACATGGTCTCTGCCGTGACTACTCAACTCTGCCATTGCGGCAGCAGAGCAGCCGTAGACCTTCTGTAAGTGAATGAGTATGACTGTGTCCTAATAAAACTTTATTGACAAAGCAGGTGGAGGGCCAGCCTAAGGGCAAAGGGCCGAAATCTGTAGGTCTTCGTTCTAGACCAGTGACTCTCTGAAGAGGAATGGGGCGTGGGGAGTAGGGACAGTGTGTGAGGGAAGGGGTGGCACACAGGCACGTGGGAATGGCACGGACATGGAGAACACTGGGCGTGGGAAAGAGCTAGAGAAGCTGAACACTGACACTGGCCCCTGGGTGACACTAAGTCTCTCCACAGCCTCCTCTTTTAGCCTTTCCCTCCAGTTTCAAAATGACTCCTCCTCTGAGGGGACTCAGGCTCCCCACCTGGCTCCCCAGTTCCCACCAGAAAGCCCGAGTGGGTGTTCCAGCCTCTGCCCCACCAGGCACCCCTGGAAGGCAGCACCCCCAGGCAGGGACCTTTCCCCCCTGCCCCTCCCTCCTCCAGTTCTGGGTCCTGGCCAAGAGACAACCTCTCAGCTCAGAGGGACCTGACCAGGAAAGTCCGACCACCTCCACCCAGGAAGCCCCTGCAGGCTGGAGGGCAGCCCTCCCTCCTCCCTTGCCCTGTTAGTTTTTCTTTCTGATAGAAACAGCAGCAACTCTCACACACAGAGGAGCTGGGCAGGTGAGTGGCTGGCATGCTGGGCTGCAGAAAGCCGGGCTGCAGCCCAAGGCACCAGCTGAGCAGGGGCTTCGCAGGTTCAGGTCAGTTCCCAAAAGGCACCGCCTTCCACTTGCAAATGGGGTGACAGGTCTGCTTCCCAGGCATAGCAGACCAAGTGTGGGGACTGCAGAGCCTGGGAACACGGGTGGCAGAGGGGACGGGGCCCAGAGACTGCTGAGGGAGGAGGGTGTAGGGGCAGTGAGGCTGGTGAATTCGGCAGGGGCAGAGGGCGGGTTGGGGTGTGAGGCCCAGAGGGGCTGGTAAATGTGGGGAGGGCGGATACACTGATAAGCATTTCCTCCCGGGGCCGGCAGAGCAGGGGTGGGGCTGAGTGGGTCCCTTACTCCGATTTGGGTGGGACCCCATGAAGTCACACGTGGGGGAGACCTGGCAGGGCTGATAGCCTTGCCTGACCCTTTCACACTTTAGCAGCAGCAATTCTAAGCCCAGAAAGGCTGCATGGCCGGGGAGAACAGGGCCCCAGAAGGCTCTTCACCGAGGTCTCCACGAGGTAGGACAGAGGAGATTTTAACGTGTGAACTGTTTTCTGTCTTTTCCAAATTGTCTATGGTAGCCATGTATTAATTTTATAATCAGAAAAGCATGTTATTATAAATCAAGTTAAATGGCTCCAAAGCCAAAGCACCCAGACCCCAGAAGCCTGCCCTTCTCTAGCTGGGGAAAGGGACAAAGTGTGAGGAAAAGGAACAGAAAGCTAGAAGGACCCCTGGGCTCTGGGACCCGACCTGAGGGCGCTGCCGCCAGGGCACCGGGAAGAGGCTCTGCTGGGCGAGGCTGGTCTCCTACCCACCCCAGCACAAGGCTTGCTCAAATCTAGACTTGGCCTCCACCCCCAGCCTCTTCCCCTTACCCCCCCCCCACCCCGCCCCGCCCTCACCACTTCCTCTCAATGGTCCCCGGGAATTACAGCACAATTATTTTTATTGCAAGAGTTTCCCAATGGGGGAACTCCACTGTTGGGGGAAGCAGCAATGGAGGAAGGGTTTGCAGTGCCCTGACATAAACTGGTTATAAGTAATGTATAAAAGAAATGGGGAGGAAGGCCTCCCTATGCCAGCATATTCCCAGGAACAGTGACCTAAGCTCTGATATTCTAAACACAGTGCCCAAGGACATCACACTCCCTTGACGCACAGGAATGAAACCAGGCATGTAGGCTCCTTGCTAAGCCCGCTCCCACCAGCTACACTGTCTATTGATCCACATACACTTTTAGCTCTTGAGAAACCCACATGCACAGCCACTGCTGTCAATGTTACGTTTGGAGCACGTTCACCGATTCACCCTGCCACCTGCACTGTAGATAAAAGTGATTCTATTTAATAAATTCAGTGGACACCAGAGCTCGGGGCCTCTGCTTCCTCCAGTTCATGCAGTGGCTCCCTGGTCCCACTTAGGCATTCTTAACCTGTCTTTTTCTCATTCCTTTGTCACCACCGAACTCGGGGTACTCAGGGGTGGTGTGTGGGGGCTGGCCCCCTACACTCCACAGCCCGAAAGATTTGCATCTGAGCTTCATGTAGCATCCCTGGGCGTGGACAGGCAGAACCGGGCTATCCCCATCCCTGTGCACAGAGGCGCACAGGTGGGGTCGGGCCACGCGTCCCAGGAGCCTAGAGGGAGGAATGGGAGCCGAGCCGCTTCTCAGAAATTCGTTATGGGAATGTGTGGGTTATGGAGATGCTCAGACAGCAAACCGTACTGCAAGCACCCAAACGATCATTTTTAACCCGAGACGACCCTGAACCAAAGCCAAAGGCTACAGGTCGCTGGGGCAGAGGCCTTCCGAAACCAGCTGGCCCCTCCTGGCCAAGGCGCACCAGGGCCCCGCCCAGCCGGGGGGATCCCTTGGTGGGGCAGTGAGACTGGGAGTCAACCGCACCCAAGTGCCACCGCGTCCACCCGGCACCCGCGACCCCCGAACCTGGACCCCCGGCGGGCAGCGGCTCACCTTCTCCTAGCCCCGGGTTCCGGGAGAACTGCCGGGAGGTGGCCGGGGTCACCCTTGTGGAATCAGGCCTGGCAGAGGCTGGGGGGCGGGCTTCGCACCTGCCTCAGTCTCCCAATCCGTGGCCCGGGGGATGGAGCCGCTGCGCGCGGAGGCTGCGGCAGGTCCCAGCGGGTGCCCTGGAGCGTGGCGCCTCCTTCCCTGAGCCTGAAGGTGGGTCCCGAAGACGGAGGACGCCGCCTCTCCTTTGCCCCCGCCTCCCCCCAGCCCACACCGCTGCTTGGAGCTGCTCGGCAGGTGATCGGAGCCTCCCCCCGCCGACACCGCGACCCGGCCCCGCCCCGCGCCGTACCCCGTGGCGTTTGCTCCCGGCCAGCACCGGGCCCATTGAGCAGGTGCCTTGAGTAGGCGCTTCCTGGAGCTCTTGATGTGGGTCCTCAGAAAACCCCCTGGCAGCCCCATCGTAGAGACGGGGAAACTGAGGCTCAGCAAGGGCAGACCTTGCCCAAAACCTGCAGTACGCTCCGATTCCCCGCTCCGACCCCGGCCGCCTCCCTGGGGCGCGCGACGGCAGCTTTCCTTCCCCGGGAAGCGCGGAGGCCAGAGACCCGCACTCAGACCAGGCGGGGGCGGCGCGGGACAGCGGCCGGGAGGGCTGGGAGGGCGTCGGGGGCCGGGTGCTCCGGGCTGGGCTCCTGGCCGGTGGATGGGGCCTCGCGAGGCGCCCGGGGTGCCGGAGCGGGAGGAGCAGCCGCGGGGCGCCAGGGCCGTGGGTGGACGCCGCCGTCCCTCCTAAGGCGCAGCCGGTGCTTTGGGACCCAGGAGCAGAGCCCGCGCCTCCCCGGCGGGCTCCCCGGGGTCTCTTGGGGTCTCTCGGGCGCGGAGGCTGAGGTCCGGGCCCCGCAGTAACCCAGGGCGGCCGCGGGGAAGCAGCGCCCTCAGGTGACTCGGGAATGGGTCAGAGGAGCCCCGAGAAGGATGCAGCAGAGTACGGGGCCGGGGCCCGGGCCGGCGGAGGGCGGGGAAGGCGCTCTGGGAAGGTCCAGGCCAGGGCGAGGCTTTCAGAGTCAAGGCCTGCCCACCCTATCCCGTCCCCTGGGGAGGTGAGGGGGGCCGTGAGCAGAGGGGCCCGGGTGGAGAAGGTGCTGCTGGCCAGGGGCGGGGCAGGAGCCCAGATGGGGACTTGGGGTGGCTGAGGGGACCCTCGGGCTGCAGAGACAGGGAGGGGAGCTAGGGGTGTGGCTTGGGCAGGTGCTGGGACACCCCAGATGCCCTTTATTCTGAAGGGGGATGTGCTGCCTGGGTCCTCCGGGAACTAGAAATCCATTTCAAGATTTTCAGGAGTTTCAGGTGGAGACAAAGGCCCTGCACAGGTGAAACTGTGGCAGTGGCAGAGTGTGGGGTAAGAGCCACGGAGAGAGGAGGCCACTGAGGCAGACGATGAGACAGAGGGAGGGAACCAGGATTTTTAAAAACACATCTGAGATGCGTTCGCTTTCCTTTCCCAGAGAAAGTGTGGGCAGAAGCCAGCTCTGAAGCCCAGGCTGCCCAGCCAGCACTGGCAGGGCCGAGGGAGGAAGGCAGGGGCAAAGCCGCATCTCCCTGTCTCGGAAGTGAGCCCCGGAGATCTGGAAGGAGGCAGACAGGCCGGTGAAGCTGAGCAGCCCTGACCCCAGGGCCCCCCGTGCTCCTTGGAGCATGGATCATTGCCAGGTCATGACTCCTGCTATCGGGCACAGGACATGGGCCGTGTGCTGGCATCTGGCTGTTGCAGGACTGAACCCGCAATGCCTTGCAGGTGGTGACCGCCTTCTGGAGGCCTGGCTGGCTGACACTTTGCATGGCTCCTGGAGAAGGGGGATGTGAGTGGAGTCTACGGGTCATGGGCACGTCCTAGGTGCCACCTCTGAGGCAGGACCAGGCCGGGATGGGGAGGGCTGGAGACAGGCTCCTGCCAGTTTCGCCTCTCACCTGTGGTCTTCATGTCTGGGAAGCCACTGGGGACTTGGGAAAACGCAGGAGGCTGGGTCCGTCCTGCCCCAGGGCACCCCTCACAGGTCCCAGGTGAGGTCAGTGTGGCCCGGTGCTGTGTGGCTCTGGACCTAGTCCTTGGGCTCAGTCTGCCAGGCACCCAGGGCCTGGGCTTGGAACAGACCTGTGATGCAGGCAGGCTGTTCCCCGTTTTCTGGGGACATTACATCATCTTAGCTTGGAACACAGGCATCCAGGATTGTTATTCACATCCCTCCTCCATGTCCATCTTTCTGAGAACTTTCACAGGTATGTCAGGAGCTGCGCTTCCACCAGGGAGGCCCAAGGGGAAAGCCTCTTCCTTGTCCTCCAGGAGAGGAAACCTAGTTACATTCCAGGGACAAGCGCGATCCATGTGAGGTGTGGCAAGTCTCACGGTTCAACCGGGGAAATCAGAGATGGCTTCCTGGAGGCAGTGACACCTGTACAGGCTTCTCCACGGAAGGAGGGAAGCGAGTGGGAGAAGCCAAGTGGGAGGAACCCATCACTTAGTGGGAACTGCACCGGCAGAACTGACAACCACCCCCACCCTAGGCCCAGAGCTCTTGGAGAGAGCTGGGCCCCTCGGGGGACACCACATAGTTCCCACTAGATCTTAGGTCTTGCCCCTGGGCAGTGCTGCTGAGACCTCTATGCCTGTCCCAGGCTGAACCAAGGTTTTCTGACTCTTGAGTTGCTGCATTTTTACTAAAGGACTGAGGGACACTGCCCCCAACCCCCAGGGAGCTGGGCTGGCTCTCCCATGGCTCGGCCCACAGCTCCAGCCGCAGGGATGTCCAGAGGATCAGAAAACTCCTTCCCACCTTTAAAGCGGCAGCTGGCAGAGTCTGTGGAGCTCCCGGGGGACCAGGAGACAGGCAGGAAGCCCCCCAGGCAGGCAGGCAGGGGCCCACGCGGGAAGGTTGATCTTTGATCCTCCTCTGATGGCCCAATGGGAACTGTGAGCACCCAGCTGCCCGCTGGGACATCTTGGTGCAGGGAAAGGGCTGAAGCTGGAGCAGCCACAGCAGCGTCCTCTCTCGTAGCAGTGGTCCTGAAACCACGGACATGGTCAGGGCGGCGTGCTGAAAGGCATTGCTGAATGGAGCCTCCTACTGACCTAGAGCCAGCACACACCACTCCAGGGGCAGAGAGGCGAGAGCAGGAGCGGGAGCGATTCCAGGGCAGAGGCAGGCTCTGAACCTGTGGAGATCCTCCCTGAGGCGCCCTCTGCACCTGCAGGGGTCCAAGCCCAGAGCTGGCTCTGCAAGGATCCGGCACTCATACTGTGCACCTCCGCATGGGGCATCTGTGGGTCTCTCTGAAGGTGGGCACCTGGGCAGCCTTCCTGAGGGGTCAGAGCACCCCTGCAGGCATCAGAGATTCCCTCTGTCCCTTTCACCACTGGCCATGGCTGGGGCAGAGCAGCACCACGTGGTTTCGGTCTGGACAGCCCTGAGGCCCCACGAGGCCCAGCATGTCTGCAGGGGCCTCCCCTACCCGCCTCTCTGCACCCTGAGGCTTCACCTGTTGGTCAGAAAGAGGTAGCAGAATCCCAAATAAGAGTGCAGCATGTCACCTACCAGCTCCAGCCCCTGGGGGCAGAGTGGTGACTTGGTGCTTCCGTCCAGCAGAGGCCCTGATGTTCAGCTGCACTGGAGACACCCAGGCAAGGCGTCACCTGCATGGTCAGCTGCAGGGCCGGGGCTGGGGTTGGTAACCACCGCCGCCTCTTGGCCCACAGCATTCTCGCACGTGCTGCTTTGGTCCTGACAGGCCGGGTCCAGGCCTCTCATTAGACCAGGGTTTCTCCCCATGAGGCCCGGAGAGGAGCCTTCTGGCCACTCCTAGGTCAAACAGGAGGACAGCGGCAGGCCTGAGCTTTGTACATACACCAACTGCCAAATATATCGCCATGGCTTTCCTGAAGCTTCTCTTTAGAAAGCTTCTGTTTGTATGCGCAAGGCAGTGTGCATGCAAGCATGTCAGTTACAGCAGGAGATGGGGAACAAGCCACGTGGGAACTGATGGAGCCACAGCCACATCCAGTGTCCTCTGCAGCCGCTGTGGACTGCCGGGGGAGTGGGGGCAAACGTGAAGATCTTTATGACATGAGAGAAGCCAGGCGTGGAGCAGGGAAGAGTCAGGTTTAATTGGTGTGAACCACAGGATCACCGGAAAACATTGTTTTCATAGATAAAACTCTTTTTGTATAAAAGTCTCTAGAATGCGATAGGAAATCTGTAACCATGATTTAAAGTGGGAGCCAACTATGGTCTAGGGTCGGGGAGGAAGGGGAACTGTTCACTGCAAACAGCTCTTCGGGCGTTTCCATTGGGATCAAAGGGTGGCTGACTCTGCCACTGTGACCTGAGGATTACTTCTACCTAAGGCACCTGAAAGATAGCACAGGCAAGAGTGTCATCGAATCTCTCCTTTTCTTCCTGAAGACAGATAAAAATGCCCACGTGAAAGACGCCCTCGCTGTACCACGCAAAGAAATATTCTCTACAGGGAGGTAAGTCATAGCTGACAGGATTCTGTGCAAACAGACATTAAAGTAATTCCCGTCTTCCTTAAGCTCCCCATATGGTTTACTTTCCACATCGGTTTCATCACTTCTTTGGGTCTTTGCTTCCTTATGAGGCTCCTGGACCACATAAAAGTTGTATCACATTTGTATTACGTTTCTCCTGCCAATCCACCTTATTTCAATTTAATTCCCAGGCCCAGCCAGGACCCTAAGAGAAGGGAGGTGATATTTGCTTCCCATATTACTTTTTTAAAAAGAAAATCTGAGGCCAGGTGCAGTGGCTCACACCCATCTTCTCAGCATTTTGGGAGGCTGAAGTGTGAAGACTGCTTGAGCCCAGGAGTTCAAGACCAGCCTGGGCAACATAGGGAGATTGTGTCTCTACAAAAACCCCCCAAAATTAGCTGGGTATGGTGGCACATGCCTGTGTTCCCAGCTATTCGGGAGGCTGAGGTGGGAGGATCACTTGAGCCCAGGAGGTCACCATTACAGTGAGGTATGATTGCACCACTGTTCCAGCCTGGGCAACAGAGTAAGACCCTATCTCTTAAAAATTGTTTAATTAATTGGTTACCTGATTAACACAGTTCCTTACCGTTGAGGGATTCTCTGCTGTGGTCCTTCTGCAGCCCCACCCATACATGAATGGCTTCTTTTGAAGCTTCCTCCTTTGTACATGGGGTAAGTAAAGTTCTTCTCCAAACTTTCCTTTTTTGTTAAAGAATGAACTTGCTAGTAACTCTTTTTGAAGCCCTATCCCATGTGGCTGGTAGACAGGCCATGCTTACAGGCGTGTAGTACATTCTGTCCTTGTACTTTAACCAAGAGATCTGTGCTGCACGTGCTCACAGGCATGTCCCAGCTCACAGCCTATGCCTCTTACCTGTTTAGAAAAGTTTTAAGTTATTAGTCAATCAGGTTTCAGTTTAGATTGTGAGGTCTGGCTCCAGCCAGTGGAGATCAGACACAGCAGTGAGGACGGCCCCAGATGCATAAGGATAAATGTGTCGCTTTTCATCAGTTTGTTGTACTCTTGTGGCAAGATGGCTGGCGAGGGTCCCCTTCCTGCAGTCCAGGAAGTAAAAAACTGCTTGCTGAGAGATCCTTTGTCTCAGTGCTGATTTTTCTTTGTGGCACTAAGCATGTTTCCAACATATGGGTGAGTATCTTTGTCTCTGTCTTAGGCTGTTTTGTGCTGCTGTAACAGATTACCACAGACTTCGTAATTTATATAATGAACAGAAATTCATTGGCTTATGGTTCTGGAGAGTGGGAAGTCCAAGACTGAAGGGCCAGCAACTGGCAAGGACCTTGCTGTGTCATCCCACAGTGGAACAGCAAAGAGAGGGCAAGAGTGTGCCAAAAGGGGGACAAACTAGTCCTTTTATAAAAAATACGTTGACAACAAACCCACTCCCATGATAACAACATTAATTCATTCCTGACGGTAGCGTCTTCAAGCTACTACATCTTAATACTGGTATGACAGCAATTGCATTTCAACAGAGAGGACCAACATTCAAACCACAGCAGTCTCAAATACTGGGCTGGCAGTGGAAGAGGAGGCTGATCTTTAAAAAATACAGTCTTTAAAAACAGGGACAATCCCATGAAGTAAACTCGAGCTAGAATAGGGAACAGGTAGAGGGATCCAGGTGGATAAAACAATAGACATTCCCCTGCATCCAAAGTACGTAAAGATGAGCCCTTTCACCTCCAGAGTCGCTGGGTTCAGATGCTGAAGGCACCCTGAAGGAACTCTAGACACACCAGCCTCTGCAGGTTTCATCTCTGGAGTTTTCAGAGCCAGCAGCATTCCTAGGTAGACTGGTCGAGAACAAATCTTGTTGGAGAGTACAAAGAATGGCTTGTGAATGCTCAACAAACAGGTCTTTCAATATGTAAGTAGACACGACTTCCAGCCAGGTTGCACAGCCTTGAGTATATCTTAGAGGCTATCACCTTGGGCTGTGAGTGGCTTGTGTGGCTTGTGTGGCTCTGCCTGGGAGCCGCTACTCTTCTCCAAAGTGCACTTTGTGTGGATGGGTTTTCACTGTGGATCCTGGGCAGGCGAATGCCGGTGCCAGTGTGGGGAAGCAGGGTAGAGGTGTGGCCATTACCTGCTGGCGTGGACTGGCAGCCTTCCTTTGCGGCGCCCAAACGGCACCTGTTCCATAGTTTCTTCTCCACATGCCAGCTTTGTGGCTCCATGAGAACGAGGCGCTCCTTGAGGACAGGCATTGCCTCTCTCTTCCCTAACGCACCCCAGCACAGACAGCACCGGGTGCCAGCAGTCAGAGGAGCCCGGGACCCAGCCCGTCCCGTCGCTGCTATGTTTCCCATGGAAGCGGAGCAACACCCGATTCTAAGGAACTGTTCTGAGGACTAAACGGAACACTGTAAAAAATAAATGGACACGAAGGGAAGGTCAGGCGGACTAGGGTGGCCAGGCGCCACGTGGCTCACGCCGGCCATCCCAGCGCTTTGGGAGGCTGAGGCGGGAGGGTCGCTGGAGCGCCGGCGTTTGCGACCAGCCTGGGTAACAGCGAGATCCCGGCTCTGGCAGAACATTAATAAAAATCAGCCGCGCGCGGCGGTGCCCACTGGTGCTCCCAGCTCCCAGGGAGGCCGAGGCGGGAGGCCGGCTCGCGCCCGGAGGTCCCGGCTGCAGAGGGCCGACTTCGCGCCACGGCGCTGCAGCCCGGACACAGCGCCGGACTCCGCCTCAAACGCAGAATTAAGGCCAGCTCGACCGCCGCGGAGGTCGCGTCCTCTCCATCCCCAACCCCGGCCCTGGGACCCCACGATCCACACAGAAACCCGCCTCTCGTGCTCCGCGCCACCCGGCGCCGCGGCCCGTTTCTCCCCCGGGCGTCGGCGGAAGGCCGACCCTGCGCCCGCCGGAGCCGCTTCCGGGCACTTCCGGCGCCCGCGCGGATCCCGGCAGCGGTGGCTCGCGTTTCCGCCGGGCGGCGGGAGCGCAGGACCGCCTTCCGGTCGGCGCGTTCGCGGAGCTCCGCTGGGAAGATGGGGAAAGTGAGGGGGCTGCGCGCCCGCGTGCACCAGGCTGCCGTGAGGCCCAAGGGGGAGGCCGGCCCCGGCCCCGCGCCCCCTGCCTCGGAGGCGGCCCCTCCGCCGGCCTCGGCCGGGAGGAAGGTGAGTGGGGGCGCCGCGTGGGTGCGGTGGGTGAGCTGCGGGACGCCGCCACCGGTGGGGGGTGGGGGGTCGAGGCTGAGGCGGGAGGATCGTTTGAATCCACGAGGCGGAGGCTGTGCTTAGCCGAGCTCACGCCACTCTGCCCCAGCCTGGGCCACAGAGCAAAGTGCCGTCTCAAAAAAAAAAAAAAAAAAAAAAAAAATTCTATCTCTTTACTGATGTTTTCTGTTTGATAGGAGAACGTCGTCCTACCTTCCTTTCGTTCTTTAGACACCGTCTCTTTGTCTCTTTTAGTCCTTGGAAATGTGTATAATGGCTCCCATGAATTGTTTACGTGCGAGTACATGTGGGCTTCTCACAGCAGTTTCTGTTGGGTGGCTCATGCTTTCCTCGTTCTTTGAATGTGTCATTGCGTGTGTATGTGCGTGTGTGTGAAATTGGGCATTTTGGATAGTCCTGTAGCAACCAGGAATTAGTATTTGCTTGAGAACTTTGTTTATTGACCTGACACTGAACCATGTGGCCTCTCTCCTTGTCCCCTTCTGGCTGTGTGCAGCCTCTGATATGCCCCCTTGCTCTTTTTTTTTTCCTGTTTTTATCTTTTAGCCTGGCTACTTGGATGTGCTTAAGTTACTGGTCAGCAGTTATTCTTAATGCCTCCTTGGCCAGTGAGTTTTTGCCCTTTACCACTGGTTACCTCTGGCTTGGAGGTGGCTGTCAGGTTCAGCGTGCTTACATTTTCAACCTCCATTCTGCCCTCAGAGAGGCACCGCCAAGGACTAGTCGCTTACAGAGTCCCTCTGCTCACTCCAGGGAGGGCGCGTCCTTGAATGTGCATACAGCCTCCAGACTGCCCGGGATGCAGCTTCCTGGGAACCGTTCCTGGGCCAGAGGGGCTTACTGTCTACCCAGGAGCTTTGGGCACCTTGCCCTCGCTCTGCACCCATCACCACCCAGAGCTCCTTCCTGGTCAACAGCACCCTTAGGCGTGAGCTCCCTCACACCAGTTCCCGACAAAGCGAGTCGCGTCTGGCAAAGCTGTGGAGTTCTACCTCTCCTGGCCAGGAGCTCCCTGTCAGGACTCCGGAGATGCGGCAGGAGCAGCTTCAACTCCCTAGTCGCCTGCCCTCCTTGAAACCTGTGCCCTGCTGGTGGCTGAGGTGGGGCTGATTGGGACCCAGTGTTCTGATGTCCCTGCCTGGGTGGAAATTAGAAAATAGAATTATCAGACAGAAACCCAAAAATAAGTGTCTCTGAAAACTTTTTATTTTTTATTTATTTTATTTTATTTATTTATTTTCTGAGATGGAGTCTTGCTGTGTCGCCAGGCTGGAGTGCAGTGGCGTAATCTCGGCTCACTGCAACCTCTGCCTCCTGGGTTCAAGCGATTCTTCCACCTCAGCCTCCCGAGTAGCTGGGACCACATGCGCATGCCACCATGCCCAGCTATTTTTTGTATTTTTTTAGTAGAGGCGGGGTTTCACCATGTTGACCAGGATGGTCTCAGTTTCTTGACCTCGTGATCCGCCCGCCTCAGCCTCCCGAAGTGCTGGGATTACAGGCGTGAGCCACCGCGCCCAGCCTGAAAATGTTGAAGACATAATTCAGGAATCATAGAAAGGAACAAAAAGCCTTTAAAAAAAACTAGGCAAATTTGAAGAAAAAAGCAAGAGATAGAACTTTTATATCTGGAAAATATAGTTATTGAACTTGAACATGGAACAGACAGGTAGAAAGGATTTCCAGCATCTAATCAGATAATGGCGTTGTAATCCTTGAAAGACATTCAAATGGTGTAACACCAGCATTTTTTATATTAAGCTCCAAAAATATGCATGAATGAGGTGTAAAGTGCGACTGGGGAGAATGTCCCAGGTACCGCGGGAAACACTGTGGAGAATGTCCCAGGTACTGCGGGAAAAGCAGTCGTTTGCTGTATGCCGCCACACATTCGTGATCTGGAAGGCTGCACGCTCCACCCCTTGTCCCCGCCTGATCCCTGTTTGCCTGTGAGACCTCAGCCTACCTGCGCTGCCTTAGCCACCTGCCCCGCCAAGCAGATGAAGAAGGCATCTGTGGTGGTCGCCAGCACTGTCTCCCCGCAAGTCTGATATTTTCCCATGTACCGACTTTCTGTCCTTGCCACATGGGGACGAGAGCAAGGGCTTCTCCGTCAGGTGCTGTGGGTGAGGGCGCCTGGGGAGCTGCAGTCCAGCCCAGCGCCTCTTGGCGTCCTGGCTGACACTTCTGTCTCTCCCTCTCATGTGAGGGAGGCCACATTTACCTTCACTTTCAGGGTTTTTAGGTTGACCCTGAGATTCAGACTCATGTAAGACAGATTAACAGGAGAAAAGCTTACAGATTTGTTGAAGTTTTATGTGACATGGGAGCCTCCTAAGGAAATGCACCCTCAAGGAAGTGGGAGGAACTTTGTGCTTCTGTGAGAGGGTGAGAGGCTGACAGAGGCAGTCGTAGAAAACTAAACCACTCGAGAGGCTGCAGGAGGGGAATGGGTGTGTGACCAGGTGTGTCTGTACAGAGCTCTCCTGGCTGCCCTGATCTGTCCCTGATGATAAGATTGTTACTTTCCTTCTGGTGTAGGAGTGCATCTTCCTTGTGGGGATTTTTATCTCCTTTCAGGAAAAAGGGAGGGGCTGAGAGCCCTCTTGGCACCTGCTGTATTTTAAGTGCCTTTAGCTCAAAATAATTCTTTGCCAAAGTAACGTGTTTTGGGGTGGCGTACTCCGACACCCTTGAGAAGCCTGTGTTGTGGTTGGTGCTGCCTTCCCTGCCAAGGTCAGTGAGTGAGGCTTCCACGTGAGTGGGCCGGGCTTCTGTCTGCTCACAGTGTGGTCGGCAGCTGACTTGGAGGATCTGAAATCTTCACATAGGGATGAGTGTGGCTCAGAAGCAGACCCGAAAAGAGGCCGCTGAGATGAGCGGTGCCGATGGGATGTGGTCAGTCTGCGCTGAAGGCGCCGCAGCCTGGGAGCTGCACGTCCTTCATCTGCTCAGCTCGGGTTTCTCCTGCGACACAGGAGAATGTTGGAGAAGGAATAAGACAAAACGGTTGGGAAGGAAATTTGGTTCTTGAGATACTGACCCTGACTCCTGAAGAACCAGGAGTGAAGCCCATCTGGTAATTTAAGGCAGGGAGCAGGTGGGCCTGGGCGTTGCAGGTCTGCCCTGGAGCTCTGGGACTGGAGGCTCCTGCTCTGGGAGGTGAGGGTTGTTTCCCTGAGGTCCTCCTGGGCAGAGAAGCTAGGGAATCTGGGTTCTTGTCTCTCATCTTCTCCTCATCTTTAATTTCCCTCTGAAACCACAAAGCAAGTCTCACACCTCTTCTTTCCTTCCTTTATTGTTGGGGACCTTAGGACTGGGCGTTCGTCGACACCAATATCTTTGCCAGGACCAAGATAGACCCCAGCGCCTTGGTGCAGAGGCTGGAGCTGGACGTGAGGAGCGTCACTTCCGTCAGGAGAGGCGAGACTTCCGTCAGGGGAGGTGAGGCTTCCTCCGGGGGAGGTGAGACTTCCGCCGGGGGAGGTGAGGCTTCCGCCGGGGGAGGTGAGGCTTCCGCCGGGGGAGGTGAGGCTTCCGCGGGGGGAGGTGAGGCTTCCGCCGGGGGAGGTGAGGCTTCCGCCGGGGGAGGTGAGGCTTCCGTTGGGGGAGGTGAGGCTTCCGCCGGGGGAGGTGAGGCTTCCGCGGGGGGAGGTGAGGCTTCCGCCGGGGGAGGTGAGGCTTCCGCCGGGGGAGGTGAGGCTTCCGCCGGGGGAGGTGAGGCTTCCGTCTGGAGTGTGCAGGTCGCCGTGCTCATGCCCAGCACATCTGGGATCTTGGCAACTTTCCAGCTAACCTGTGCCTGACTGTCCTTGAGCAAAGGTTCCCCGGCTGTTTCTCAGGGTGATCCCCCAGAGTAGATTGCAGCTGTGGTTTTGCTCCTGGGCTGCATCTTGTCTCCCTAGCTACGCAGGAACTGCCCTGGGTCCTGGCAGCAGCGTGGGCTCACCTGTGCCTGGAGATTGAAGCCACAGGAACTTGGGCTGCTTTGGTGACCAACAGGGTTTGACTGTTTTCTCTGTGTGTGCGGATTCTCTCATGGTCTGTCTGTGTTTGGGCAGTTTTGATCACTTTTCTTGAACAAGTGTTTTATGTGTTGCAAAGGTAAGCTCTTTATCATTTTGTACAGGTAACTCTTCAGGGTTTAGGTCCGGAGCCCAGGCGGGGTCCTGTCAGTTTCATCAGAGCCTGGACAGCCCCCCTTCCTGGTCTCCTGCTTGTGCCCCTTGCAGCCCTGAAGCACACACGGCAGCCTGGCCAGGGAGAGTCTGGGAACTCACACTTGCTCCAGTGTCGGAGCACGGCAGGGAACACAGCCCCCTGTGCGTCCTACGGAGTCTGGTGTTTGAGAGAGTTCCAGGCCACCGTGGTCAGCGCTGACAGAGTTGGCTGCCCTGGCTGGAGGGTGGTGGCCAGTCACTCTGCAGGGAGAGATCCAGGAAAGAGCTTCCTTCACTCATCTACAGGAGTCGGAGGACACAAGGAATACTTTTGATGTCTTCACAGCCTCGGGGAGCCACGGGCTGGGGAGGGAGAGGGCCTGGCGTGTGGGTGCTGAGCTTGCGGCACCGCGTGACAGCGAAGATGGGCCACCTGTGAAGAGCCTGGGCTCCGGGGCTCTGCTTCTCACCGCCTGGAAGCCCCTGGCTGGATACCTGATGGCTCTGGGCCAGGGTTTTGCATCTGTCAAAGAAGGTAATAGTATTCACCTGCTAAGTTCTGGTAGTTTCGAGGTTGAGGTGAGTTAGTTGATATGAAACGTTTGAAACAGTGCAATGAAGGCTGTGGAGGTGACTGCTCTGCATCTGTTAACAAGGCCGGCCTGGCGGCAAGGCAGGCGACAGTGGGCTTCGCACCTGCCCAGAGGTGGGCCAGGCCCTGATTCCTCGGGCACAAGTTGTGTGATCATGGGCACTCTCTGACCCTTAGTTTCGTTGTTCACATAGTGGCGACAGACACAGCTCATAGATGCTGAGGGCCTCGCTGTGCATCTGGAAAGATCCAGGCACGTTTAACCAGTGCTGGTTTCCTGCGCCTTCTGTCCAAGGAGGACCTGGTGATAGGACCAGGCCAGGTAATTTCAGAGAGGAGCTGTGCCTTCCGGCCAGGAAGGGTTGACATGAGTGGTCTGCCTGAGCTGTGCATTCCCTGGCGGCCGACGGGGCCTTTGAGGCTGCCCCAAGGAGAGGGGAGTCATGGGTCTCACTGACCTGGCTCTGCCCTGAGCCTCTCCAAGCTCTTTCACACAGTGGCCCCTTTCCTCTGTCTTTTCTTAGCCCTCTCCCTTTAAACCCCTGTGGCTCATCTGGTGCCTTAAGTCACCTGCTACACGGACCCTCACGTCCCCTCTTCCCCGCCTAATTTAGGGAGGCATCACCCTCATGACCCCTCTTGCCTACCAGGAAACTTCTCTTTAGCAAGATCTGGCCTCTTGGGCGGAGGTCTTGCCCAGCACTCCTGTGGCCTCTCCTTTGAGCCACCCTGGGCCTTTGTTTTTTGTAAGCTCAAACCTCATTAACTTAGAGTCACTGGTGGGAGAGGGCGGAAGCCTGAACATTACAGTATTGAAGATTGAGTTCACATTTCAGAACCACCTTATGAAAGTAGAGCATAGAAATGTTTTATTGAAATAATTGAATATGTTAAAAAAAATTTTGTGAATCCATTGGATAATGAATTTTTTTTCTTAATTCACAGTACTGTTATTTGTGCATAAAAACCTTAAAGCTCACACCAACCGGACGTTAGCGTGGCGGTCCTGGGCTCCCCAGCCCTGAGCTCGCGTAGACTGGACGTTAGCCTGGCCGTTCTGGGCTCCCTAGGCCTGAGCTCGGGTACACTGGACGTTAGCGTGGTCGTTCTGGGCTCCCCAGCCGTGAGCTCACGTAGACTGGACGTTAGCGTGGTCGTTCTGGGCTCCCCAGCCCTGAGCTCGCGTAGACTGGACGTTAGCGTGGTCGTTCTGGGCTCCCCAGCCCTGAGCTCGCGTAGACTGGACGTTAGCGTGGTCGTTCTGGGCTCCCCAGCCCTGAGCTCGCGTAGACTGGACGTTAGCGTGGTCGTTCTGGGCTCCCCAGCCCTGAGCTCGCGTAGACTGGACGTTAGCGTGGTCGTTCTGGGCTCCCCAGCCCTGAGCTCGCGTAGACTGGACGTTAGTGTGGCCGTTCTGACCCTCCCTGCTCGTGTTTGCCATGTTTCCCATAGCCCACCATGAGGGGCACAAGGATGGAAATGATTTGAGCCGGGAGCAGGGTCAGGGTTTTGGGTGCGGGGGAGGAGCCTTGGCCTGGGGTTACACTTAGTGGCTCTGGCCAGGAGCCAGTGGCCTCATGCACTGCCTGTGACTGTGATTTCTGCCTTGGTGCCCCCGGGGGATTCAGGAGAAGGTCCTCCAAAATGGTCCCTTGGAGGTTGTCCCTGAGGTGCCTTCCAGGTGGCTGTCCTGTGGAGGGGGCGTTCTGAGCTTATCACCCAGCCCTCCTGGAGCGAGGCCGCCAGCGACTGTCGCCAGCTGTGGCGCTCACCCAGGGTTTCCGTGCACATTCCTTCCACCACCTGCTGTGGCTTCTCTGCACTGACGAGCCCCAGGCTGGATGAAGGGGACCGTCGGACCTCACGGAGGGCCAGACAGAGGAACAAGCCCCCGCTTCCCCTGCCCTGGGATGTGAAGCGCCAGCTTGGCAGGGTGACAGAGGTGCTTGGCCCCATGGGTGGGGCCTGCAGACCCTCAGAGGAGCAGCTCCACAGGTGAAGGAGCTTGCCCTGGTCTGGGGGCCCCAACCCCTTTTCTTGGGGCCTCCAAGGTATCCAGGTGCCTCAGTGGGTCCTGTGCATCTTGGCCTCTCCTCACCTTATGCCTCTCTCCAGGAACAGGTTTGTTTTTTTTTGGTGTGGTCACCGCAGCTCCTGATTGGCTGGTGCCCTGGGTCCCCACTCCCACCCCTCCCTGCTTGTGCTGGGGCCTAGGCCCAGGGCAGGCCCATGTCATACAGATACTGCATCCTGTGACTTGACCGCCACCTCTCAGTGACCTGCGTGGCTGAAGAGGTGAGGTGGCGCCCCGTGGGTGCCTGTCTGCCTAGATTAGTGTGACACCACCTTCCCACACGCGTCATCCTTGCCCTGGGCTGAGTCAGAAATAGCACTGCATGCTGTATCTCTGGCCAAGGAGCTGAGTGGCTCAGGGGAGGGTCCAGGCTGTGGCTCATCACCCGGTGGACACCCACGTGCCCACCTGCACCCCTCCTCTCCCTCTCTGGCCCTGGGAAGTGGTGGGGCTTGTTTGTCTCTGCGACTAACAAGTTGATGGCATCTTGCCTATGTTTCTTTCAAGCCCTTGGGATCCCAGCTGGCCCAGAAGCCACATCCGCCCCCAGTTCTGTTCCTGTGCCCTGGGGCCTGCCTTGCCATGACAGGTGGGCCCTGCATCCTGGGAGGGACCCACTGAGCTCTGCAGCCTGCAGGCTGTGGCTTCGCCTCCTGCCTTGGGAAGAGACCATGGGTGCAGGGCTGAGGCTGGCTCAGTCCCCTACCCACCCCACTCTCTGAGACCCCTCTACACCCCACGGGAGGAGGAGGGCATGGGTGCAGGGCTGAGGCTGGCTTAATGTCACCTCCTTGCCCCAGCTTTCTGAGAGCCCCCCTGCACCGCACGGGAAAAGGAGGGCATGGGTCAGGGCTGAGGCTGGCTCAGAGTTCCCTCCCCGCCCCAGCTCTCTGAGACCCCTGTACCTCCCCAGCAGGGCTCAGCTTTGCTGTGGGCCAGGCTGTGCATGCAGAGGCTTTGTGGCCACCCATGGATCCCATGTCAGGGGCTAGATCTCCTCCGTGCCTGCTCTGGGGTGGCAAGGGCCCTGTGACAGAGCTGGGGTGAGCACCCATCTCCCCCTACTCAGTGCTACCTGCTGTGCGTGCTGTGCAGCCAGCTATAGCTGGCATAGTGAGCCTGTATGACACCAGTGCCTGGCAGCCAGCTGGGTGCCCAGTGGTGGCTGCATCCTCCAGCTTTGGGCACGGCACTAATCCTTGGCATCACGTGGCCCAGGGGAGCTGGTCGTGGAGCACATTTAGAATTGGATTTTTAGTTCTGTGTTCCTTCATACCGGAAAATGGCAGAAAATGAGCCCACCTGTTTTCAGACAGGCACTTGGAACTCAAGCCCAGAGACACAGGCAGAGTGCGACGAGGCCTGGTGTGGACTCAGAGCCATGTGAGGCTGGGGGCCCCTGGAGCAGAGGGCGGAGGGAGGCCGGTCACCATTGCTGGAGAGGGAACTCCTAGCACCGTGGCCGGCTTGGGGGTCATGAGGGGCGCCGGTGGTGTTACAGTAGCTGGTGGCACCTTTGCTTGGGCCACTGGGCTCATTTCGCCCACTTGGCCTGGCAGGCTGCTCTCAGCTGACACCACTGGCCTTGATCCCATGCCTCCAAGGGAGACTGGAGTCAGGTAAAGGGTGTGTGAGAGCAAGCATGGGGTCCGGCCCCTGC